AAAAATGAACTATCTAGGCATTTCCGGCTTTGATTGCAAACTCCAACTGTGATGGTTGCTCTTGCCTCCACTGGGCAGCTGAAAGCGGCTCTACCGAGATTGTAAAGTGGTGGGTTCTCTTACATTTTCTGTTCCTGCTTTTGTTACGGCTTTCTTTCTGTTCCCTTGGTTCTGATTCGTCTCACAATTCGATATCACATTTGATGGTATTAATCGGTACTCATTCATTCCTGAATCTTTACGTAGCTCGATTGGAGAGCAGTTTTCGCTTTCGTAGCTTCGAAGGGTAGAAGCAAGCCCTATTCTCGCGCTTAAATGTGCTCTGAAAGATTCCGTGCTGCGCTTCGCTTGAACAAAACTGTAAACAAGCCTTTGTCGATCTTTTTGATCTCTTATTGTCGTCATGAAACTGTCGGAGTAAAGCAATTTCAGCCTTCTCGAGTTTGAATATCCTGAACAATTCATCAAAGAGATTGATTTGTTGTCATGCCCTCCGTATCGGTCCGCTATTGATGTAAATCATGGCGATAACGAATGTAGAACTGCGTTGTACCGTGCTGCATCGAAAGGTCACACAAATGTACTTCCAGTATATGTTGGCGGTGAGTATCTAACCTCACGACTGGAGTGTTCCAGTCTGTGGTGAAATGAACTTTGGTAAATTCTCACTTGCAGTTTCGATGTCTATTCACTGATGGTGAGATGCGATGTCCGTTCCAGCTGGACGTGTACTGTAGTCGTGGCAGAACTCCTCTCATGGTTGCTGCGTACAATCAGTCCCTTCCTGTGCTTACGTATGTGAATTCTTATGCTGCTGTCAATTATTTTTGATTTCCACTTTGGTTAGTGGAGTGGGATTGAGAATTAGCCGGAGGGAGGATTTTGTGAACAGAGCAATACGTTTTATTAACAATCGTAACGGTACTGGCTACATACCGGATCATTACGGCGAAGTGTAAGAACCAGGGAATTGTCTTAGTGCATTTACTTCCAACAGGAGTTTTTTCCTAATTGTATGCAATGCGGTCGACTCCGAATGGAGGGAGTTGGTGGATGGGCTGGCCTAGTTGCGCGGGATTCAAGTTTTTCACAGCTTCACACCACCTTCGCTCCATTCCTGTATTGAGCCAGATACTTGGGCTTTTTCTACAGACATGTGTCTTTTCACTTGCTTTTGCCAGTGCCATTCCATTAACCATGTTTATGTGAATATAATAACTGTGAGCTTCGAATTGCTATCAGTTTGTGAAGAGTTATTTTTAGCCTCTTACTGGATGCTGGTGCAGATGTTAATTTGCCATTGGCTATTTTGGATTCGGAAACATGCGAGGAAGCTCGATGCGTGGGTGAGGCCCATCTGATCTCTTTCTCCTCTGGTGACGTTTTCCTTCAGTTTTTTTTATTCTTTAACACATTGACGACATTGAGACGCGGTAACGCGTCTCACTTTGCGCACCTCGTTGGACATTGAGACGCGTTACCGCGTCTCACCCTTATCATCCCTTTTTCTAGGGCATGCGCAGCTTTTTCCCGAATTGTTTGTCTCTCTTCTATGGATTAGAACATAACATTATTGTGAACGACATAGGTCATTGTTTGTTCAAATATGCTCCAGTTTAGAAGAAGTTTTCCAAGCTCACCGAAACCGGCGGCTTGGTTCATTAATAGTTTTCATGCTATTCTCATGAACACGTCAATAAAAAAGGGTAGTGAAAGTAAATGCAAATCTAAAGAGACAGAAAAATACATGCTTCACTTGGTATAACCACATCAAAAGAGCTTTTGGCATCCACTACAGATAAAATGACTAAAATTTCCTTTTTCATTACCATTACATGTTCTTTAATCGGAACTTCGTCACTATATACTCTATTACCTTCTACGCATTGACTGTTACTGAGATGTTTTTGTACCACTGGTGCTTTAAAAAGTTATCAATAAAAATTCACGGATCCGAGGTGCGGCGGTCGCACTCGCAAAATCGGCCCGGTCCCACACGGCCAAAAAAGCCAAAACGCGCGCGGTCGTCAATGTGTTAAAGTCTTTCCAGTCTTGGGAATACGAAATTACTTGAGAGCGTTGAGTTTTTTTCTGTTTTTTTTTTCTTCATATTGTTATATCTAGTCTGTTTATTTTACCACATGTTGAGTTTCTCGTTATTTGAGAGTGTCCGTACTTTATTATGTCTCTTTGCACATGTAATTACTGGCCTTCGAACGTATTTTTGCTTGGCAAGGGCGACGTCTTTTGAGTCTCGTTGCTTCGCTATTTTCCATTTCTACTAATGTGTTTCTTCGCTTACTTTCTCGAGATTGCATCCGTCTTCGAAGCTGGAATCCTCATTGTGTCATGAAGTGAGGACCATACCTAATGTAAAAAAGCTCGCACTTCTTCTTCTTTCTTCACACATAGGCTACAAAGTGGGCATCCCTACACAGTAGCTGAATTTAGTTGGGATATTCTAGTGTAATCAACACTTAGGGGCAAATTTTGGGTGTGTTATGGTTTGATTTTAAGATTAAAAGGTACGTAGCACGAGTGCATTGTCCAAGCTGTGTATTTATCTAGGTTCTGGTGCTCTCGTGGAAGCGACAAGATCCGACGCAGTTCACATTGTACACTTTCTTCATGATCGAGGAGCACTCGATACCGACAATCGGGCCTTGCGTCTAGCTGCTAAGGTCTCTAATGCGTTTATGATCCTTGACTATGCCATTTGGGTTCCAAACCAATGAGCTATGTTTTTTTTCAGAATAATAATCTCAAATTAATACGGGTGTTTTTAACGCGGCTTGTCTATCCCGATCCCGAATACAAAGTGAACAAGAAAAACATCGACGTCGGACAGGTTACTATTGTTTGTACTTTTCTTTCAATTCAGATACAATGTTGATGAACGATAGTTGATGGCTCGCTAATAATGGTCTATATTAACGGGTGCGTGGAAAATATGGGAAGCGACAACTATCTATGCTGGCACATGATTGAAGAGACAAGACTGACTGCGCGGCAAACATCATGCGCCAGCATTCCATACTAGCGTTTTTCGGACTTTCCACACGTTCCACGCATTCCGTCACATTCTACGCTGGCGGAATGTATGAAAGCAATCTGAGAATGGATGTCTTTCTTACCAAGAAAGCATCATAGGTCGAAATAGTTATCTGCGATGTACATGTACTATGTGATGTGTTTTTAGACGCTGGTCTCAAATTTGCTTCCCAGAGAAGCCAGTCGATTTTTGAATGCTGTTATTAAGGTTTTCTGCGTAATTTACATAGGGAGTCGGCTTCAGCAGTGGGAGCGTCGAAACGGTTTACGGACTACTTGATTTTTCCTCAATGGTCCTGCCGCGATGGCTAGAGCACAGACGATTAGAGAATGCCCTAGGACTAAGCCTTGGAGAGGAGAGGGACCCGCGAGAGAGCGCAGAGGCGGTTTAAAGGGCTGAGTTCAAGTAGTCCGTCGAACGATGCCAGCGAGTTGCACACTGTGTGCTGGAGGTCTAGTAGGTAGAGCTGTAGGCTTTAGAATGGACGTCGGTGGTTTTGACCGGTCCCCAATCGTGCCCCTTGCCAGTAAATCCGGAGTGGTTTTGAATCATAGAAGCCGGCGACCGTTGTATTCTTCGAAGTAATACCATGAGAATCTTGGAATTATACAGACGTGTGAGCCAGATATTTTTGTTTTTCAAGAAGCATGGCTGAAAGTTGATCCATGCCAAGTCTGGGATTCCGTGATAGGTTAATGGAATGGTTAACCGACCATTCACCTTTTCAATGTAGGTACAGAGTTATAAATTTGCTGAGATTGCTCGTAGCGGTGCTTTGTTCTTTCCTAACATCATCACTGTCACAGCGAGAGCGTCTGGCGAGTGCACCATGAGCGCAGTGTGCTGTGATTAGCAAATGCCCAAAGTTGTTGGTAACCATCGCAAGCTTAGCCTGGATGACTATAGACAAGTATTGATTGAGCCTTTTCAACCATATTGCCGTGCCGCAAATGCGAGAGTGAGATCGCGTCACCAAAATTGAATGACGTCTCACCTCTTAGCCGGGGCCACCACCGCTGTTTCATTTTGTTCATCATTAAGTGAGTGCGTCAAGGTAAACCGTTTGTAGATTTGAAAAGCAGATTTGAGCAGCTTCCAAACCCGCGTCCTATGGCATTTGTCTCATTGCATATTGCCGCTTTGAATTGCGATCCTTTTCTGGTTAATGAAACCATTGAGCAAATTCTGTAACAAAGTAGGTCTATTCAAACAATGGATACATAGGGAATCGTTTCCCAAAAAAAGTTCGCTGGTATGTATCCAAACATGGAAGCCGATATAATGAAACAGTTACAGATTCAACTGGGTCAAAGCTTACTGCCTTCGTCGTTATGTCCCTCTCGAGCAGCTATGCTTAATCTGGAGTTCAGCTTCGTTAGAGTCTCTACACAGTCGATGGTTCATAGCAGCTGCTCTCCAAATAAATACTCGTCTTCGTACTACTAGGTTAGCTCAACATTTCGAATTCTTTTCTTTTTTGAAAACTCACAACAAATTTTTTCAGATTATCACTGGCCGCTATAACACGGGTTGACCTTTCATGTAATCGACTTACAGTTTTCCCATCGATTCTTTTTCAGATGCCTTCTCTCAGGTTAGCGTAGCATTGTAATGTTCTTTAGCTTATGTACTACCACTCATCGATATTTTAGATCTCTTAATCTTGCCGAAAATCCACATTCATCTACACTATTGATATCGTCCCGGTTGTTATGTTACCTCTACGTCCGTCGCTAGAAATTTCAATCTCAACACAACCCGAACTGGCAGTCGACTTTCCCACTCATTCAACCGTATCAAATAGAATATTAAATTATTATCCTTCTTGCGTTTCCTATTGAACGTTCAAAAATACATTTTTCAGTTTCTGTCTTCATTGCCTCAAGCTAACAACACTCGACATTTCTCGAAATTGCCTAAATCAACTACCGGAATTTATCTGGCTGTGCCCTTCATTAAAAGAAATCAATGCTGCTTCTAATCATCTGGCATCACTTCCTATGGTTGGCAGCGCTGCGCTAGAATTAGGCCGGATTGCTCGGGGAACTCAGCATCCTTCAACCCCCACCAGTCCTACTAAGGCTGAGTCAAGTAGGCGCTTCGTTTTAATCTTATTTAGTGTTAAATTTATCCTAACAGATCGAATTTTCATGAAAATGAATTCTTTACTCTTCCAGTTAGTATCAGCGATGCCATTGATGATCCTTCGAATGTCTTCAGGAAGCCGTTGATTAGGCAGAATGTATGGCAACTGATGTGATTCAACTTTATCCTAAGGTACTGCTTATATTGGTGTTTTGCTCGCATTTCTTTGTTCTAGCCACTCCCTTGAAAGTGAAAAGAAGATTGTTCAGCCTGTTTGTTTTCAGGTAGATGATGATAGCTTCTTTCCCGATTTCCCCATAACGTCTTCCAGTACGCTTACAACATTGAACCTTTCTGCGAACAGAGTTAGTGTATTTTTTGGAGATATTGCTTTCAAGAAGATTATAGCATGTTAGGTTGAAGAAAATAGATTCACATTCAACTGAAGCGTGCATCTATTCCAGTTCCAAGTCTTCCCCTTTTGCCTTGCGTGTACATGTCCACGTCTGCTATCTCTAAACATGAGCTTTAACCAGCTGGTATCTTTGCCACCAATACAATGTATTCCTGCACACTTACGTAATCTGGACCTTTCTGGCAATTTAATCAGGGTGAGTTCCATCTTTTGGCTGCGTCCTTCTTTCACTTCGTTCAAATTTCGACTACAATGTGAGATCGGCTCGTTTTTGTACAAACTTTATCTCTCTGGAAGACTGGTTATTTTCTTTCTTTCGTTCCTCCAAAGGAAGTGTCGTGATAAATTCCATGGGTCGGGCCCTGGTGGGACACACCAAACCCCTAAAGGCCGCATAGTTGACACTTTAGGGGCAGAGGTGCCTAATCAACAAGTGATAAGGCGCCTGAACCACTTCCGGAACACAGCACCACCTATGTGTCGCACGTGGAAGGGTTTGCAGCTGCAACGTACTTTATGTGATACAGTTATCGTTATCGGCCAATTTTCATCCTGAAGTGTGCCTCACACCAAGTACTGTATCTTCTTATCTTATCGTAACGTATCATCAATGGGGATGCACGTTCGCTTGAACATCCTCCACTAGGCATTGTTCATAGTTTTGGAACCATCGGAATATTCGAATCTGCGAAAAGAAAAAGATACGTATCGACCAGGTGAATCCGCGCACGCGCGAACGCGGATGCGAAAAGGTTTAGATACGTATCGACGTAGTAAACCACGCCCTATTAGCGTTGCTAGAGGATTTTCGCACCGCCGTTTCGATGCTGCGATCTCCGATTGACTGATCGATAGACACTAATTCCTTTCAAGAGGATTCGCAGATTCCAATGCGCGATTCGAAGCCCCTCCCATTTTGTGGATCGATACGCACTTCATTCATTTCGCATTTGCGCAGATTCGTTCGGTTCGAGCGTCCTCCTCTCGTGGCGCAAACTATGAACAATGCCTTACGGTGTTGTC